TCCGGCAGCCCCCCCACCAGCGCCTCCTCTACGCGCTCCGTGGGCAACTGCCACAGCTGGTTGATGAGCAGCTGCGTGTTGTCCCGCGCCAAGGCCCGCAGTTCGGCCTCCGGGATGGGTTCCCCGCGCCGCAGGCCCGTGGGAGGATTCCGGTCCGAGGCCAGCAGGTTACCCAGGTCGAACTCCAGCTCCAGCTCCTTGTGCACCGTGATGCGCTGCAACTTGTCGGCTTCGTCCCGCTCCGCCTTAGCCAGCAGCTCCTCCACGCTCTGGCCCTCCATGGTCCCGGCTCCGCTCACCAGCTCCGGTAAAACAACTCAAATTCTCCGCCAGCGCCGGCTCAAGCCGGGGCAACACAACCACGTGCGAGAACCCAGACGCTCGCCCCGGAAGAGAAAGCTTCACTTCCGGAGCAACCGGAACTGGCTCATGATCCGGGCGACTGGAGGAGAGGCCGGCAGAGGGCAGTGTTGGAGAGCAGATGGGATGCCAAGCGGTCCTTTGGGCTCGTGCCCGGACGGGGCGGAGCCGGTGCGAGAACCCGGACTACAAATTCCAGGGTCCAGTTGGGACCGCGGCTCCCCGGAGGCGGCGGCGGCGCAGGTGGGCGGCGCAAGTTCCTGGGCCCACGGAGTGTGGGGTTCCGGAGCGGTTCTGTCACGATATCGGTGAAAATGTGTTCTCAAGATGTTTAGCCAGTCAGCCCTTTTGGAGACTGGACAGGTTATATTTCACCCGAACCCTGGCCCGCTCGTGGGGGTTCTGGGTTAGGGCCGAGAAGGACACTTTGCACAGACACGTGGCGCTAAGTGGCTGGCGGCCGAAGAGCGCCAGGCTCTGCCGCTGGACTGCCTGGTTCCAGCCCTGACCGTGCCACTGGTTGACTTCCAGCTTTAACGTCTCTGGGCCTACTGAAACTATATTTTTATTGATTTCAGAGGTGAAGGGGGAGAGAGAGAGAGAAACATCAGCGATGAGAGAGAATCATTGATCGGCTGCCTCCGCCACGCCCCACACTGGGGATCGAGCCCACAACCCTGGCAGAGGACCTCCTGGCTCCTGGGTCCATACCCAACCACGGAACCACACCAGCCTATTTTAAAATCTGTGATCTTCTAGGGCTAGTATAAAGATAAATGAGTTAATATGCTTCCAAGGGAGATTCGACTAGGGCCTGGAACTTGTAAGTGCCCGATAAATGCTAGCTGCATACCAGTTGTTAATCTTCATACAGACTCTGAGAGCGAAGCTGCAGAGGCAGTTTTACACGGTGATTAGACACGGGGATCTAGAGTCAGACCTAGGGTTACTGTAACCACCATGGACAGGTTGTTTAACTAAAGTCTTAACTTATTCCTAAGTTGATGACTATGAAACAGTTTCTGGTACATGGTAAGCACTCAGTAAGTCTTAGCTGTTGTTATTCACCATGTTCCTCTGATGACAACGGAAGGCTCAGGGAGGTAAAATGACTTGTCTAAGGTTGTACAACGAGCACGTCAAACGCTAAGGCGAACACGGGACAAATAAACAAGGTTTATGTTTCTGTGGGCCGCAAAAAAAACCAAAAGCTTCAATTTTCATAGAAACGTAGGTTTATTTCGATAGAGACATGCTGAGTACAAAGGGCTGAAATAAATGAGTCATTGTTAACACAAAAATAATAGAACATTTTAATAAAAAATTAATATTTTTTCTTCTACATTTACTTAGCAGACACTGAATAACTGCACACATTAATAAGCGTAACACAAATAAACCTATTTTTCTTGTTCTCTGAAAGCGAAATATTTCCTGTTGCGCACACCGAACAAGTCAGTACAAGACTAATGACGTGGCAGTTGGCTGCTAAAATATTCGCTGCTGGTATCAGTAGAGAGAAATGGTGCGCCTGCGAGTAAGGCACGTCAGGGAAATGAATGCAACATGATAGTAATCAGTCATGAGCGAACATTGTAGTTCGTTATTAATAATTATGTATAACCAGATATTGTAAAAATTAAGTTACGAAATTTTTATTAAAACGTTTTTTACATACCATTATATTGGCTAGGCTGCAAAAATATTCGTGTGGTCCGCGTGCGGCCCCGCAGGCTGCGAGTTTGATATGCTTGTTGTACAACTAGGAAACGTGGGAACAGGAGGTAGCTTACTCACAGCTTTAAGACTGTTTACATTTTCTCTGTAATGTCTTCAGGCTCTTGACACTCTAAAAGTGTGGTCTTTGGACCAGCATCATAGCCCCAGCTGGGCGTTGGTTAGAAATGCAGAATTTCTGGCCTCACCCCTGATGTAATAATTCAGAGCCTTCATTTTAACAGAATCTCTAGGTGATGAGTATGTATAGTTGAGTTTGGGAGGCCCTGCTGATTGTGGGGTTGAGGTTTGGTTTTCCTTTAAAGGGAGTTTGGAAGTAGTGAAGAAGGGGTTACACTGGAGAATTAATCCATAGAAATGGACATAATTGCCATTAGGAAGTAAATCCATTTGAGTTTCTGCTAGAGAGGGCTTTAAATACAGCCTCATCTGTCATGTATGCTCCCTGAGTTTGGTCTCTTCTTGAGCTCACTATCTTTCCTCAGCTGTCATTTGTTCATTCACTCATAAACATTTAATGAACACATTTAAAAAAATTTTTTTTTTATTGATTTCAGAGAGGAAGGGAGAGGGGGAGAGAGAGAGAAACATCAATGATGAGAGAGAGTCATTGATTGGCTGCCTCCTGCACACCCCCTACTGGGGATTAATGAACACATTTTATGCTTCAGGAATTTTGCTAGAATCTTCTTTTTTCCTCTTTTCTAAAAGCGTTTTAGGATTTCCCAGGGTTTTTCTGAGCCTTTACCTTAACATTCAGCACCATGTCTTTAATACCAACCATCCCCTGGGCCCGTGGTTGGCAAACCGCAGCTTGCGAGCCACATGCGGCTCTTTGGCCCCTTGAGTGTGGCTCTTCCACAAAATACCACGTGTGGGCGCGCATGTACAGTGCGATTGAAACTTCGTGGCCCATGCACAGAAGTCGGTATTTTGTGGAAGAGACACACTCAAGGGTTCAAAGTGCCGCATGTGGCTCACAAGCTGCGGTTTGCTGAGCCGCGGTTTGCCGACCACTGCCCTGGGCCAAGACTTTTAACCTTAAAGCTTTTGAGATTTGCCTTAGGAGAGTGTTAAGAACATTGACAGTTGCTCTGGACTTGGCTTAGCTTCTGATTCATTCACACATATAACGAACATTTGAATGACTACCATGTTCAAAGATTATTGAGAACAATGGGGAAGAAAGAAAGGTAAAGAGAAATTTACCATGTGGCATAATTAGGCATTTAATAGGAAGTACACCTATGTAGAATTTATCTCCTCTATCAATCTGAGCTAGGAAAGAACAATCAGATGTCAACATGTGCTGAATGGTATGAATCCTCATCGGATGAAATGCTACTTGGTGTGAATCATACAGGTCAGCTCTTAATTGAACTTTAACTGTTTTATGCTCAATGGTTTTTTTAGTCCAAAGGGATTTTAATTTTCTTGATGATTGGAGATTGATTTTTACTTCCACTTTGCTGAGCAGAGTACTGGATGTGTAATAGATACTCAATACATGATTGTTTGAAAGAATAAGCCTAACAGACTTTTCTAAATTATGAAAGGATTAATGTTGGTTGTGTTAGATTCAAGGTGAGCAAAACTGGTAAGGTGGGGAATTAGGGCCTTAAAAAAAGCCTTTATTGAGGCAAGAAGGTAAGTGGTGAACTCCAGCTTGCATTTGTATCATCTTTATATTAGGCAACACTGCAGTGTCAAGAAGAATAGGCTTGCCAGGGATGTGCAAATGTATGTGAAATTATTTTAATAATACAGCAAATGGTTGCACAGATTGTCTTTTCCCTTTGTTGGTTTTTCCCTACCCGCCCCCCTCTTTGTTGGTTTCCCTTCCTCCTTTGGTCCCATATATCAGAGCTCTCAAGTTTGGTATTAGGCCCTCCTTCTTTTCCCTTTATACATGCTCTTTATGCCATGTCATCCACTCTCTTGGTGTCAGCTAACATTTTTGTGCAGATGGTTTTTAAAAGTATATCTTTATTTCTTTCCTTTTCAGAGCTTTAGGCTCAAATCTCCAATCACCTGCTGGGCTCTTCCACCATATTCCAAACTCAGTATGTGTAAGGTTACATACACGTCATCTTCCCTCGAATTTCTTCTTCATTGTCTATCCATCCACTCCAATTTGTTTATAGAAGCTTTTTATGCCCAAGGTTCTGTGCAAGGCATTGGGAATACAATAGTTAGTAAAAATAGGTTCAATTGAGGTTATTGTCATTTTAGTCTAGTAACTTAGGCTTGAAACTAGGATGTCATTTTTGACTTTTCTTTTTCCATCTCCAAATCCATTCAGGCAAAGTCCTGTTAAATTTGTCTCATATTGTGCCCTTTCCATTTCTTCTACCATGGCCTTACCCCTAGACAGGGTCTTTTCCATTTGCTTCTCTAGATCCTCCCTCCACTCTGCTCTCTGCCCCTGGCATCCAGCTGGGTGTAGCAGTGACAAAAGATCAGAGGGTGGGAAGAGAGGAAGGTGAAGCTCTGTATGCCTCCAACCCTCTGCACATTGCTATTGGTTGGCTGGTTCTTCTAAAAGGCCATAGCTCCATTCAGGCAGCTCTCTTCTTGCAGCCACCCTCACCCAGCTCCTCTAACTTCTCCCCTGCTTCCTCTAGGCCTGGGAGTGGTTACAGCTCTCGCCATTGTAGCACTCTTATTTTTGAGTTTTCTTAAACTCTGCCCACATTTTTGTAATATTCCCATTGTTGCTCTTTTTAAATTACCCAGGTTGACTACTACATTTTTCCTGCCAGGACCATGACTGATACCCAGAGATCTATCCCAGAAGCATCCTAACAGTTTCCTGCCTTGGCTCTCTCTACAGTCCAGTTCTGAAGATTTATCTTCCAGAGACCTGGCCAAATCACTTTACTCAAAAACTCCCTTCTCTACCCAACAAAATATGATTGTTCTTGGTGTTGGATATTTATGATCTAGCCCCAAACGACTCTTTACTCACATCGTATGATAGTGCTGCTTATGCTTATTTTCTAAATATTTCTTCCCCATTCCTATTTTTTATCTTAGCTTTCTACAAACTTAAGAACAGTTATCAAAAAAGGCAAAAATTACATGCAGGAAAGAAGAAGCAACAATTGCATTTTTGTAGCAACTATTGAGAAGTTTTCATTAACAAAAGTAAACCTATAGGGAGATTAAACCCTCACCTTCAATCAGGAACAGGAAAGTTGAAGACATGAAAGAAAGCAACACCTTTCACCTTTCCTCAAAACATAATTACTTTGGCCAGTAAAACATTTTTGTAAGCAATTTCTTCATTCTTTTGATATTGCGTTAACT